CAACCACATGCCACCATGCCTTGCTAATTTTTTTGTATTTTTAGTAGAGACGGGTTTCACCATGTTGGTCAGGCTGATCTCGAACTCCTGACCTCAGGAGAACGGCCCGCCTCAGCCTCCCATAGTGCTGGGATTACAGGCATGAGCCACTATGCATGGCCTATATTCTTGATAAATTTCTGTTTACCAGTTTTATCACTACTTGAGAATAATATTCAAGTCTCCAACTACAGTTGTGGATTTGTCTATTTCTTCTTTTAGTTCTGTCAGTTTTGCTTCATGTATTTTGAAGCACTGCTGTTAGGCGCATACACATTTAAGATTGTTATGTTCTCTTGGTAAATTTATCCTTTTATCATAATGTAATATCTGTTTTTCTCTCTGGCAATTTTCCTTGCTCCGAAGTCTCCTTTAGCTGATATAGGCACTCCAGGGCCTGGCGTCGTGGCTCACACCTATAATCCTAGCACTTTGGGAAGCAAAGACAGGCAGATCGTTTGAGTTCAGGAGTTCAAGACCAACCTGGGCAACATGGTGAAACCCCATCTCTACAAAAAAAATATGAAAAAATTAGCCAGATGTGGCGCTGCACGTCTGTCGTCCCAGCTACTTGGGGGGCTGAGGTGAAAAGATTACTTGAACCTGGGAGGTCAAGGTTGCAGTGAGCCATGATCACACCACTGTACTCCAGCCCGGGCGATGGAGGGAGACCCTGTCTCAAAAAAATGTGCGCACATATATGTTTATTTATTTAGAAGCAAATAGAATGTATTAATATATTTTTATCATATACTGTACATAAAATAATAAACAACATATTTATCATATAAATATATATTTATTAATATATTATTCATTTCTAAAGAATATATAAATAACATTTATATATATGCACTTTAACTTTCTTTTAATTAATGTTCATGTAATTATATCTTATTAACCTACCCATACCATTATACTCAAAGCATTTTTATTGTAAGGGGATTAAATTTCTTGTTCAGATAAGCTTGCAAAAGACAATGTGCTGAGAATGCAAGACAATGACCAAGATTTCACTAACTTTGAAGACAGCAAATTAGCTGAATCTGATTCTGATCAAGTCAGATCTGATAAAGGGCTTACTGAAGATGATTTTTCAATAAATTTATAAAAGTTTATTCTAATAATCTCTGTCTTTTAATTATTGTGTTTAGACATTTTACACTTAATGTAATTATTATGATGTTTGGATTTACGTCTACCTTTTTGTTATTTGATTTCTATTTATTTTCTTAGTTTTTGTTCCTCTGTTTTTCTCTTGCCTCCTTTTGGATTATTTAAACATTTTGATTATTCCATCAAAACATTTTTATTATGGAAAGAACACTCAACATAAGGCCTATCACCTTAATTTTACGTGTACAATACATTATTGTTGACTATAGGCATAATGCGGTGCAGCACACATCTAGTGCTTATTCATTTCACGTATCTGATATTTTGTGTCTATTTATCAAGAGCTTCCTATTTTCCCCAGCCTCCAGCTGCCATTTTAGTCTTTGATTTTATGCATTTGACTATTTTAGATACCTCAGATAAAGGAAATGATGCAGTATTTGTCTTCCGTGTCCAGCTTATTTCACATAGCATACTGTCCTCAAGGTCTGTCCATACTGTGACCCATTGTAGAAATTCCTTCTTTTTACAGGCTGAATAGTATTTCTATGTCCATCATGTTTTCACGATATTTGATGTTCTGTTTGTTCATGTTAATGGTTACTCAATGGAATAAAATATTACACACAATTTTCACATTCTACTCAGAATCAATAGTGTGCCACTTCAAGTGGGATATAGACACCTTACTATCATCTAGGCCCCTTACCCGCCCTCCTTCATGTGGCATTACCTCTACCTATATTGAAAATCCTATCAGAAAATGTCATAAATTTGCTTTAAACAAATTACATCCTGGATGTTTCAAATATTATGTTATACAATTCTAGATCTTGTTGAAATCTTATGTATTATGTTATTTGTGCTTCAACAGGCAATTAACCTACTGGGATGAAGGCTCCAAACTAAGCCTGTGGTTTCAATTTCAGTTTTATTTCACTGCCTTTCAGTTCTATTTGGACTTGCTTCATATTTCTACCTTTCGGCGGCCAGTCTGGAACTCAGAAAGTGACCTCTGCTATAGCTCAGTTCTCAAAGTTTATGGTATTCCCTTTAGGATCAGATTCATACATGCACAGCTTGGGAATGAGTCCAGAGGTTTATAAACAATTTTATGGGTTCAGTTTTCTGAGCTCCTTTCTGCCTGTACTTTCCTTCTCTGTGCAGTTCTCTGGCCAAAGCATTGAGGCTTTATTTACCTCATTCTGCAGTGCACTTCCTACAACTGCTTACATCCACCTAACGAAAAGGTAAGAGGATAAAGAAAGAATAAAACATCAACAGAGGTTTGCCACACCCTATTGGGACTACAGGTCCTCATATTAAGGTGGACAATTCCCCTTCCTTAGAGATTTAGGCTCTCGAGGGCCACTAATGCCACTGTTTTTGGTGGTGTCACTGCTGCTACTACAGGATTCCTTAGAGAGTGGGTAGTGAAAGAACATGAAAGGGAAAATACGGGAGGGCTAGGAAACTCTGTCTCAGTCTCCACGCCAGAACTAGAGTGCTTCTTCTGAAGCTCTTTCTGTCACCACTGATGTCTACTTCTGAGTTTCAGACTATACTGAGTCCAAGTCAGAAGAGACTGGAGACAAATTATGAGACCTTGAATTATTGTCTTCCCCAAACTGTCTGCTTCTGTTTACTTTTCAGAATACTCCAATTGAGTTTTGATGCATTTTTATCCAGACTTTACAGCTGCACTAGGAGGAAGAGACAGGATGGTGTTGTTTACTTCATCTTACCTAGAATTTTAACCTAGAAATGATATAGATGTTAAATGTAGGTATTAAAACCCAAAAGGGACCCGGAAAGCTATGAGAACTACTCAGGCTATCATAGAAAGGTCAGTGAGGAGTACTCTATGATGAGTGTTAGAGGGAGGGTGACCATCATCCAAGGTAGGACACTTTTTCAGAGTGAAAGAGAGTACTATAGTAATCATACTTGGACAATAGGTACACCAGGAACTAGAACATATGGGCACCTCAGAAGATGCGATAGGGAAGCAATACTCGTTCCTAATTATATTCCACTGAGTCCAATTGTTCTATTGCAATCAGTGTCCTGTACATAGAAAATTTGTTTGGGTTGCCTGCTTTGTTGTAGTTAACTGACATGTAAGAAATATAAACAGCCCCCTGTCTCGAATGTTTCTTTGTTACGTTCAGTGTACCGAGCAGCCTGGAAAGAGTGTATTCTGTAAATATTAGAGCTGGCTATTTCTCCCTTTGTGTACGAGCTAACCTGAACCTCGATTTGATTTTCCATGAAGCTAAGGTCAAAACGCTGGACCTCTGGATAGCTTGGTTCTAGCATTATCTATCTTAGGATAAACTGAACAAACTGGCCAAAAGAAGTCTGAGTCTTAAATCTCAGAGCATGGCTGGCAGGAAGGCCAGGGATCCTGGCCATCAGCAAAGCACAATGGCACAGTGACAGTGTGGGCCTCTCCTCCCTGAGGCCCTGCAATGATCCTTCCCACAAGAAACTTCCTCCAAGAATAATTTATACCCTTTAACTCATCGTTAACTTTATCACTGAAATTTCCAACAAGGATGTTGCTTGGTGCCAAAGCCACAGTGGTTTTTATGATGTGGGTGCCTCTGTGAAAAAGAGCAGAAGAGTGTTTCACACAGGCCCCAAGGCGACCATGACTTTTAGCCGCTCTGAACTTGGATCACATCCAGACCGGTGGGTGTGACACATTGCATGTGAATGAGTCCAGACATGGCTTTTATTTATTGTTCAGATGATAAATCATTTTATTCCTGCAGAGAAGACAGAGTATAAGAGTTTGATATTCATACGTGAGTGGAACACATTTAACTACAGGTTAAATTCCGGTAAAGGAAACACACTTACCAGGAGGAAATTGGCCTTGTCTATTAGAAACAGTTTCACGGCCCTGCAGCCCATCACTTCATTACTTAGGAGGACTTAAAGGGAGACCCCCAAATCGGAAGCACACAGGATCACCAGCCTCAGCAGAAGGTTCAGGCTACAGCTCTGTTCACATTCCATTCTTGCTGCCGTTTAACCAGTGTGTATCCTTATTCCCCAGACTTAGCTGCTCTGCTGACTCTGGCCACTGTCTCTCTGCTTCGTGTGTCCCTGCAAGTCCATTCCTCGTCTCTTCATTGGCCTGATCGTTTTGGTCCAGTTGGTCTGTGCTTCCAGGGGCCCAGGGTAAGGATTTACACTTTTATACCTAACACAAAGATTCTGTGTTAGGTATAATCAAAGATTGCCGACATCACACGGAGGAACTGAAATGAACTCGACGCTTCTTTCCAAGCCTATATCCTGGCACAGGCTGCAGCTGCCCCCCAAAAAAGGGATTCTTCCTCTAGGTCATCCACCCAGTGTGGGCACTTCGCATAAGGACACAGTAGAAACCCACCCCAGCCCTGTCTATTCTGGGTCCTGTTAGTCTTTACCTTTTATGCTTTCTGTACTCCAGAGTTGTTGGCTGACCATGGAGTAAGAATTGTCTTCTTTACAGAAATTCTTTGTTTCTAAGGCCAGATGTGATGGCTGACGCCTGTAATCCCAGCACTTCAGGAGGCTGAGGCAGGCGGTTCTCCTGAGGTCAGGAGTTCGAGACCAGCCTGGCCAACATGGTGGAACCCCGTCTCTACTAAAAATACAAAAATTAGCAGGGCATGGTAGTGCATGCGTGTAATCCCAGTTACAAGGGAGGCTGAGGCTGGAGAATTGCTTGAACCCGGGGGCGGAGGTTGCAGTGAGCCAAGAATATGCATTCCAGCCTGGGTAACAGAATGAGACTCTGTCTCAAAAAAAAAAAAAAAAAAAAAAAAAAAAAAAAAAAAAATCACTCTTTCTAATAAAATAATATTTATTTGATTGCAAGTATACATAAAGTCATATGTACAATACATAGCAGACAGGAAAGTCCCTAGCCATAAGGCAGAAGTAGCTGTATTTTCTGATTCTGCTCGGACCACTGGGAAATCTTAGGGGTGTTGTGTACCGAAAGTACCCAAGGTCTAGCGAATTCACTCGCCCTCTGTCCAGTCCAGGAGATCAAAGGCTCTAAACCACAGTCTCAGTCCCTTTCCATTGTCCATCAAGCTTGCTCACCGCTGGCAGCAGACTCTGAATTTCCTATCAGCCTGAACATTCACACACATAGATGTGAGTTCTGTCCAGCAAAATCTCTATCCCAGGGACTGGCCGGGAGGGGGCGCCAGCGCTCATTTCATCATTCCTTAGGCTGAGAGCTCCTCCCAGTGGTTTCTGTTGTACTGAGTCCTTTCCACTGAAAAATCCTAGAGGTAATTCTGAGCTGGCTCCACGTGAATCCCTGAGAGTTTTTCACAGGCATGTGATAGCGCATTTTGGTCCAGAATCTAGAATTGGGAGGAACTGATTTTAAGCCTCTCCAAGTAACTGTGGGCAAAACCCTGAGAGCTTTTTTCACAAGATGAGGTAGAGACTCTGGCTCTTGGAAGTAACAGAACTTAATTAAAATGAGTTTCAGTGTTTGATCATCCAAGGCAAGATTCACTGCTGCTTGCAGTTCAAAGATACTGGGTCCGTTGACGTAGTTGGGGCTCAAGATAAATATTCCTCTTCTGCTTCTCTTAATAATGCTCACAATGTCTTCTGCATATGCTGGAAATAAAACATTTGATGATTTGCAATTGATATTGTTAAACCTTGAGTCAGAGAGGTCCTTGCAATGGATTCTCTTACGTAAGGAGGAAGGGAGACATGTTTACTCTACCACTTACACTGTATCAGCTCTATTGCCAGTTGGAGATACGCTGCAGTGTCTAGTGACCCTCACTTTTACATTCCCTGCTTTGTGTTCAGTCTCCCCCAGTTGGCAATTCCTCTAGGAATAAAACCAACTGGAACTAGGTAAGCTGGGATAATGGGAGCCATGGAACATCCCAGGTTCCTCGGCGGGGATATCTGAGGAGGAGGAGGCCAGCAGGACAGGCTGAGAGCTGAACCTCTCAGAGTGTCCAGGGCTTGGCCCAGGCCTGAGAAGTCTGCTTGACCGGTGCTGAGCGAGCTTTGTGGGAGGCAGAGTCACAGGAATCAGAGGGGCCACTAAATTGGGGTGACCGAGACAACCTTCAGCTGCGAAGCCAGGAGAGGTATCTTTGTCCTAGAAGGCCTGCCTGGGGCCCCATATCATTGTTTTCTCCTGCAGATGGATCTGTTTGATAATGGAGCACATCTCCGGAACATATAGTTTCTGTATTGTTGCCCAAGATGTTCTAACCTCATGTAATCTCCCAGATCTATATTCCGAAAGAAAGAATGACAAAAAAGACTTGGAGATTGCATTGAACTGCCCTTTTTGCATTGTAGTTTTTCTTGACATGTTGGACTTACCTCCTCCTGGAGCCACATCTCTTTCAAGCAAACACAAGGTATATCCATATTTGTTTTCTAAAACATCAGGAAATAGGCTCAGGGCCAAGTGTTCTTCAGTCAGAGATGAAGTGGCCTCACTTGGAAAAGAGCTCCATTTTGCATAGGATACAAAAGCATCGAAATCCTTTTTATCTGAAGAATAGGAAAAATTATAAAAACAAAAGTCATTTACTTTTTATTTTTTACTGTCATGGTACACATACATATGCTTGAAACGTATGGTAAATGAATAAGAAATAAGATTTGGGATACTTACTAAATTGATTTTAAAAATTCATTTCAAAATCATACCACTGAGTGGTATTGATCGTTCACCCCAAATTGAATTCTGATTTATGAAGCACTTTTGCATTTTCACTGAGGTTAGATCAAACGGCTGAGGCATTCTTTGATTAAATCACATGAACTCAGGAGTTTCTCTGTGCCTTCTTTGCACCTGCAGTGTTTCTGTCTCATTAGTCACACATCAAACAGGAGTCTGCCCCATCCAACATGATGATATCCAGTAAGCAAAGTGCTGCTAACACCCAGCACATTGTATCTAAGGAGAAATAGTACTTCCTCGGAGAGTTGATGGCACATACGCCGATATGTGAATGCCCATATGTAAAATAGAGACAATCATAACTCCTGGGCAGGCTGTTTTAAGGGTTTCATGAGATAATGTACATGAATTTCTTGGTGCCTGACTCACAGGAGGTTCAAGATAAATGTCCATTCCCCTCTATTCTAGATGGAAAACTGTATGTATAGAAATTGTTAGAGGATATTTTCAAGGTCTCATATGCCTCTGTTGACTGTATTATAAAACAATGATTTATATAAAATGTAAAATAATACAGTCAACAGAGACATATGAGACCTTGAAAATATCCTATATTTTCATATGCATGCTTTATAAATGCATATGATTACTGAGACTACGGAACTAACTGGAAGAAGTAGAAAATCCCAACACTTAATTCACAGGCTTTGGAATGGGATACATCAGATTCGTATTCCAGCAGTTCCCACAATCCCTGTCAAAGTATTGTTACAAAATGGCAAACAATAGCGCTGATTGCTGGTGCTGTTTAGTAGTACACCATGTTCAAGGTGAACCTAAAAAGATGCCTCAGTGGATGGAAGTACCAGGTACAAAAAAGGAAGGTCCCAGAATCAATAGAGGAGGATGCCAAAGACCTGAGTTTGGGAAACTAACCTATGAAGCACCTCATTGCTCATGTAGGAAGGACAAGAGCATGGCTGGCAGGTAGGTGCTGTGCTGTTTAAATGTGTAACACACCATAGTTGCCTCTATTCCTTCCGTATCATGTGAAATCCCAGCAAACTAAAATTTTTCTATAACCTGGAAACTACATTTATTTAGTTATGAAATTAGAGAGTGGAGTATTAGATGATCTCTGACGTCTTCCAGAATTCTAACATTCTACATCTCTAAAATTTTGGTTCCTCAGCACTAACTTCAAAGCAGTCATTTTGCCAAAAAGTGTTAGGTTGGCCAACAGAGGGCGCTGCATCCCTGTGCTTGAAAACTGGATTCTGCCTCCAGATCTGATCACTAAAACATTGTCTTCGCAAAGTAGAAAGTACACAAGTAAATGTTTCCCCATTGACTGACTCTTCTACACAAGTTCCAGAATCTTAAGGTAAGCAGCATTTTAAGACATTGATTACATAATTTGCTTCATTCAAAAAAGCTATTAAAATAAATCTTAAAAGCATTTGGCCTAAGGATTTCTAGTGTGTATTCTCAAGAGCTAATCTAAAGAAAGATGTGACTGATGCATTTCTTTCTTTCTTTTTTTTTTTTTTTTTTGAGACGGAGTCATGTTCTGTCACCCAGGCTGGAGTGCAGTGGCATGATCTCAGCTCACTGCAACCTCCACCTCCCAGGTTCAAGTGATTCTCCTGCCTCAGCCCCCTGAGTATCTGGGATTACAGGTTCCCGCCACCAAGCCTGGCTACATTTTGTATTTTTAGTAAGGATGGGGTTGCACCATGTTGGCCACATTGATCTCAAACTCCTGACTTCAAGTGATCCGCCTGCCTGGGCCTTCCAAAGTGCTGGGATTATAGATGTGAGCCACTGCTCCCGGCCACCTTTTTTTTTTTTTTTTTTTTTTTGAGATAGGGTCTCGCTCTGTCATCCAGGCTGGAGTGCAGTGACATAATCATGGTTCACTGCAGCCTTAACTTCCTGGGCTCGGGTGATTCTCCCACCTCAGCCTCCTAATTAGCTGGAACTACAGTGGGGGCACCACCACACCCAGCTAACTTTGAAAAATTTCTTGTAGAGGCAGGTTTCACCATGTTGCCCAGACTGGTCTCAAACTCCTGAGCTCAAGCATTCCTCCCACTTTGGCCTCCCAAAGTGCTGGGATTACAGGTGTGAGCCACCACACCCAGCCTCCCATGCCGGTCTTTATTCACCCTTTCTTCCCCTAAGGATGTGACAACTCCTCACTGAATTCCTAGTTTGGGAAAGCACTGGAGTTTGGAGGGCCCTCTCAGTAAGGTAGATAATTATCCCTGAAATCCAGCAGAAAGGGATTCTGCTTTTATTAAGTGACAGAGTCATTTACTAAAACTGCAAACCTTCTAACCTTAGAGATTTCCAGGACTAGAAAAAAAAAAAAAACAGAAGCAATGCTTCTATTCCAAAGAAGCAAACATCAATGAACATGATTATCCTGCCTCAAATATTGACAGGCACGTCATTGACAGTAATAGTGCTTGCATTTTACAGGACTTCTCACTTCTGGGGGCATTCCCACGATCTTCAAAGCCCTCATTTTACAGATGAGGCTAACTGAGGTAACAGCTAATGAGATCTCTTAAGCCAGACAACCTGTGCCCAAATCCCAAGCTCTAGTGCCTTCCAGTCGTTCAATTTTAGGCACATGACTTCCTGTCTCTGCCGGGCTGGTAGGATTGCTGTAACCATTAAAGTAGCTAACGCGCATGGCAGGCATACACTCTAGTCCTCAAGAACCAGCCATAGCCTGGCACGTGCTGAGCATTTACCATGTGCTGGGCGCCATTCTAAATATTTAATGTGGCTGGGCACGGTGGCTCATGCCTGTAATCCCAGCACTTTGGGAGGCCAAGGTGGACGGATCACTTGAGGTCAGGAGTTCAAGACCAGCCTGGCCAACAGGGTGAAACCCAGCAGTCTCTACTGAAAACACAAACAATAGCTGGGCATGGTAGCGCGTGCCTGTAATCTCGGCTACTCAGGAGGCTGAGGTAGGAGCATTGCTTGCACCTGGGAAGCGGAGATTGCAGTGAGCTGAGATGGCGCCACCGCACTCCAGCCTGGGAGACAGAACAAGGCTCCATCTCAAAATAAATAAATAAATAAATACAGACTTAATGTGTCTTAAGAAGATACATCAATGAGCCCTCACAGCATCCTTTGCAATTGGTGCTATGACAATCCTGTTCTAGAGATGAGGAAACAAAGGCACAGAGATGTTCAGTCATTTGCCCTATGACTTTAGGTTGGTTATACAGGGATTGTTTTTAAGTTCAACATGTTTCACAATAGCATTGCCTACAAGATTCCTGGCAACTGGAATGAAAAAAATAATTGTTTCTCCAGCCTTCCTCAGTGTGAAGTCACTAGACTCGGAGGAAGGCCTCAAAACCTCAGGGGCATGACTTTATCCAGTGGGGACATTTCTTTCTTCAGTTCCTTCTTTATCCTCTGCCCTGGCTGGCAGGGGACATTTGAAATTCTTTTATAAGGTAACTCTGAGGAAACAAAGCCAAGGGGTAGTGATGGTATTTTCTGTTGTCCTGCTCCAAGTCAATTCCCAGAGGAAAAGTCAGAGGGCCGCACGCAGAGGTAACCTTACCCCCAAGCGTCTCGTCCTTGCTCTGGTAGGTCCGGTACAGCAGCACTATTTCAATCCAGTGCCTGTAGAGGAGGGCACTCGCCACCAGCACGGCCACCAGCGTCCCGATGGTGCCAAGCAGGATGTACAGGAGCACCACTGTGGAGACAGGGCCGGTATGAAGAGACACAGAGGCAGTGGGATTGGACCACGACCATGTTCAGGCCGGCGCTATGGCCCACCCAGCACCTTTACCAGCCCTATTATTTTGTCAAAATCATTGCCACTAGCAGCAGTTTTTGTGAATCTGGAAACCTCGTAAATCACACCATGGAATACTACTCAGCCATATAAAGGAACAAAATAATGGCATGTGCAGCAACCTGGATGGAGTTGGAGACCATTCTTTTTTTTTTTTTTTTTTTTTTTTTGAGACGGAGTCTCGCTCTGTCGCCCAGGCTGGAGTGCAGTGGCGCGATCTCCGCTCACTGCAAGCTCCGCCTCCCGGGTTCACGCCATTCTCCTGCCTCAGCCTCCCGAGCAGCTGGGATTACAGGAGTCTGCGACCACGTCCGACTAATTTTTTTTGTATTTTTAGTAGAGACGGGGTTTCACCTTGTTAGCCAAGATGGTGGATACCATTATTCTAAGTGAAGTAACTCAGGAATAAAAAACAAAACATCGTGTATTTTCACTTGTAAGCGGGAGCTACGCTTTGAGGACACAAAGGCTTAAGAATAATACAATGGACTTTGGAGAAGGTGGGAGAAGGGTGGGAGGGGAGTGAGGGATAAAAGACTACACATTGGGTACAGTGTACACTGCTCGGGTGACGGGTATGCCAAAATCTCAAAAATCTAAAGATTTTAGATAAAGAACTTATCCATGTAACCAAAAACCACCTGTACCCCCAAAACCTATTAAAATAAAATTTTAAAAAATCACATTTTGAGTACTGTCTTACAATAAACACTAGAGACCCCAGGGGAATGGGCAGTTCCTGATCAGGATGGCCTAGGAAACTTATCATATTCATTTTATTTTTTTACCCTCGTAAACTTCCACACAATCCATTTATATCTCTCTCATTGCATATTGTAAGTTATTTTCCTGTATTATCATTCCTACTGCAGCCTACATTTCCTGAGACCAGGAGTCCCATCTGACTTACCTGACACGAGGGATCTCCTGCGTACTCCCATAGCGGAAAACCCCCTTAACAGAGGGTTTACTACAGGCCAGAACACACTTTGTCTTCTTTAAGCCTCAGAAACATTCAAACCTGCTTATAACTATAGTTGTCTATTAATTAAAGGAATAAATGATATCAATTTCATCTCTGGGCATTTCTTTTTAAAGAAATTTAAATGCTATTCCTTACCTAGAATTTCTACTCCAGCTTTTAAAAAATATATATATATATCCATGATATACACACACCATTTTGAACAATGAACAAGATTACTCCTTCTCTCTTCCATTCTCCATTCATCAGAACATGAACCCATCATGTTCTCTGGATTTGGAAGCCAGGAAAGAAAAATCGGAAAGGGAGTTAGGTCGTAGCACAATGCCTGCCACTCTGGGCACACCCTGTAGCTATTGTAGAATGAATGCATGAATGAATGAGTACATGAAAGAGTTGCTTTTCCAACACAGCCTCCCAAACACAAAGTATTACTTAAGAGAACTAGCTCTAACCAATAATATGCAGTTTACTAGTTGTGTGGCTTTGGTCAAGGTATTAAGTGGGTTGACACAAGGAAAGTGCTTAGAACAATGTCTGTCATTGAGAAAATGTAATCGCTGTCATTATTATTCTCTAGGAAAACTCCTCCCCTCTCAAGTGGAGGCAGTTTCCTGCCTCCTGGGCAGCCTCCTGGGCTTACCTCTTCTCTTTTCCTTCAGTTGGACAGACTGGGTTGTGTTTCCAATGGAGTTCTGGACAAAGCAAACAAACGTTCTGCGAAGATCACGCTGAGTGACTTTTTCCAAGATGATATTACGCTCAATGATTTCATCCTTTAAAGTGGATTTAATACTGAGAAAGGAGAAGAAATACCACTCCATTCAGTAACGTACATTGACACCCATTTGCAGCATTTGGAACGCGTATAAGCAGCCAACAGTCTGACTTTTAGAGAACTGTGAGGTCAATAGTACAAGAATATACCACAAGAATGTAAGACGGTCAAAAAGGGCTCATTCTTGACTCAATTATTGACTCTTCTAAGCATTCAAGCTAAGACATTATTTGCTTGTGAGACTCATCTGACCTTCCTTACTCTAAGAATTCCCTTTGAGAATAGATAATAACAATACCTTAAGGAAAATATTTAAAATGACCAACTCCTACTGAAGGTTTACTGTGTGTACCAAATATGGACTTCTTCTGTGCACCAAATATTGACTTTAATGCCCTCCATTCCTCATCTCCCAGGAGCCCTAGAGTATAATAGGATCATAATGGTCTCGGCCAGCGACAAGGACACGGCAGAGAAGGTGGGTGAGCAGCCCCAGACCACACCACAGGGCATGGGCAGCCTGATTCCTGGGCTTGTGCCACGCTGCTCCACCCAGGAAGTTGGGAGTCTTGGCATTTATTCACAATTTGAGTTCTCTGAAGTTGCCGATCTACAATCCATCTTTGTGTTAAGAAATTTTGTGTATGTGGATGATGTTTTAGGCTGTGTTGCTCTAAGAGCACGATGCCAGCTCCTATTCACTGAGTGTTTCCTACCTGTCACACATTGTGATAGGCATAACACCTCTGCTGTGACCAGCCCTCCCAGTGAGCTTGCAAAGTGCAGGTTATCATCCATAGATTATCAATGGGGTGATGGAGGCTCACAGGGGCTAAGGTTCATGTTGCCACTAGATAGAAAATGGGTTTAAACCCAAGGGTGGGTGATGTCAAAGCATACGCTCTTGACTACACTCTCCTACTGTGAACTCTAATACAATGTCAGCTTAAGATGGGCCCCAATGACCTTCCTGATCTTAGAAATTCTTGCTAAATATTATTGTTGTGACCAAAATCTGTTCTGTACTTTTGTTGTAATGATGTATGCTTTTCAAAATGATATTGCATTTGCTTATTGATATCTATTAAGTATCAGAAGAAGGTGCTTAATGCATAGACTCTTACTCTGGGTCACATCTTGGAAAAATCAGGGAATTCATCCTTAAGAGATATGTCTGATTGGACATCATTGGATCCAGGACCTTTGATCCTTCCGGGGACTGGAGGTCAACTTTTCTTGTGATTGGATAGCTACAAATAGCTAGGGTTTTCTACTGGCCAAAATATCTCACCAGTAAATTCTAACCACTGATCTGGGTTCTGTGCCCCAGAGAGCAAGAAACCAAGTCAAATTTCTCAAACAATATAACAGCTCCCAAGGATTTCAAGACAGAGAGCCTTCCTGTGATCCTCTTTTTCAGGGTTAAGTTGCTTCAGGTATTCATTCAATGGCCCTTTGCACTTTGCATTTCTGTACTTTTATTTTCACCACTAGTCGGTGCTCGTGGTTACACCATCGACTGTTTATTTTAGACGCTTCTAAAGGTAAAAGTAGCTCTTCTGAATTGCAGAGAACAGAATCCATGAGGTTTTTTCTTACCTTTTTGCCTCAGGTACTGAGACTTCCCACTCTAGGTCGGAATCTTTGATGTACCATTTCATGACAGGGTTAAAGACCCTTTCAAAGCCAAATCGTGCTTTGCAGCTAATAGTTAAAGGCTTTCCTGAAAATGAAGAGACCAAAGAAAACAAGAAGGAAGCTGGTGAGAACACTTTGTCCTGTTTGGGAGGAAGATGTCGCGAGGAGCTGTTTCCTGATGCAGTCAGGTTTGCAGGTAGAATATGTGTGCCAGAAATAATGAAACGTCTACACATCTCTCATTCAGAAATGCATAAAACCAGGTACATTTGTTCTAATGGGCAATCCTTCTATCGCAACCATATGATCGTATGTTCTTAAAATGAAGATAAGCATGATTATATCACTAAGGGTTCTTATGTGGATTGAGAAAGACACTAAGAAAATCTAAGAAAATGAGGAATTTCTGAGATCAGCCCGGTCTTCTGCACTACTATTGAAGCACGAGGTGTGTCCATAAAGACAATTTTACTATCCAATATTTGTTTATTAAGTAAAAATCGTAATGTTATTGTAGCACGTGGTTTAAATTTAAAAATTATTTAGATATTAAGCAACTTTTCTGAACAATTCACTAAGGATGGACATGCATATTATGAGACTTTTTTCTACCCGTTTTTTTCCATGAGGAATATTCAGATATGCTCTGCCTCAAACTTCATATTTAACCGTGAAATGATTAGGAGCTCCATTTGAAAACTCATCTTTGCACCTTAACGTTTTTCCACTGGTAATACCTTATAATTCACTAACACATATGTAACTTGACTATTTGAATTAATCTAATATTTTCCTCCTTCTTTCCTCCTTCCTTCCACTCCTGTGATGTTGAGCATACAGGTAGTGCTATTTCTAGAGTCAGAACGCACCACTCCTGCCACCTAGTGATCTTATATCATAATAAGTAGTTTTACATTTCTTTCTAAAATAATAAATCTTTTAGTAGCATTTTAGAAAATATTTATATTATTAAAAGAAAAACAGCATTTTATTTTAAACACAACAATTCTTATTTGTCTGTGTAGAAAGACAGAGATGTTATTGAAGTTGATAAAATAAAATGAGACCACAGGGAAGTCAATTTCTCCTCAACCCCAAAGAAGACACTACTTTGGAATACAACTTGTTTGAGCAGCAGTTGTAGAATTCTACTACAATTCTCTTAAAGGCCAGACTAAATGTCATATTCATAAGAGTTAATGTTACTCAGGTTGGCGAATTTGTAGTCATAACTGATAGACCTAACCAACACACACAAAACCACCTGTTCCTGGGGGAAGTTAAGAAAGGATAAAAATCTATTGATCATGTTTTATGCTCCAGCCACTTAACATACATTGTCTCATTATTTCTGAATATATTTTTTTTCTTTGAGATGGAATCTCGCTCTGTCACCCAGGATGGAGTGCAATGGCGCAATCTCGGCTCACTGTAACCTCCGCCTCCCAGGTTCAGGTGATTCTCCCGCCTCATCATCCTGAGTAGCTGGGATTACAGGCACCCACCCACACACCCGGCTAATTTTTGTAGTTTTAGTAGAGACGGGGTTTCACCATGTTGGCCAGGCTGGTCTCAAACTCCTCACCTCAAGTGATCTACCCACCTCAGCCTCCCAAAGTGCTGGGATTACAGGCATGAGCCACCACACCCAGCCTGCAGTATAATCTTTTAGGGTCAGTTTTATGATAGCTATTTGCAGATTTAAGTACTGAGGCTTAAAGGATGAAGTAACTGTGCAAGGTCACAAAACTAGTCAATGGCTGAGTTAAAATTCACACCCAATTCTACTTGAAAATCCCAATGCTGTTTTCCTTCTATCACACTTAGACCTGCTCCCAGCAGCACAATATCGTTCAAAGGTGATGAGGCCCAGCTTACCAAGTTCTACTTCCAGTGTGCTCTCGACAGGATCCAGAATATCTGGTTTGAGTTTAGTGTCTCCCACTGAAAGATGAAAACAAAGATTATTATTTGCATTGAGAAGTCTGAAGGCCTGCTTGATGAAGACTTGGGTGCACAGCCACACTTTGATCTAAATGTCTTAGGGCTCTGTCTTCAAATTTTACCCATTATCTGTAAGTTTAGGAATTCCGGTTTCCATGTAAAAAGCTTGCCCTCTAAAATGACTGCCACATCAGGTTGTGGGTGCTGGTAGAACATTAGTTGTTAATTGATCCATCTCCTCCTGCATGTATTTTCTTTCATACTAATCCTGCCCCTTGCAGACTTGAGCTCCTATCCCTGTCTTTTCCTACAAGATTTCTTTGTGGTGCCATCTGGCTGAGTAATTGAACCAAAAGGAGAATCTGCCCGAGAAACTGTGCAAGTCAAGCATATCTGAGTCCACCTCTCCATCCTTTAACTCATGGTTTATTTCAAAATAAAGAAGAGTCCAGTCCTTAATTAACAATTTTATCAATCAACTTCTTGCCACAAACTTTCAAATATGCCTCCACTGTCAAACTTCCTCCTGAAGCTGTATCTTTTTCTGGATAAAGAAAAATTCAGGATCTTTGCTGTTGACATCATCTACTTCTACTTCTCAGAATCCTCCTTCTCCCCTTTGCACCATCTCAGTCCTGTATTTTTAACTTGTCTCTCTTTCCTTCTCTCTCTCTTTCTTTGGGCTTCTTCTCATCACCATTTATTCATACTCAGTCACATCATCCTAAAAAAGAGAAAACACTCCCTGCCTTATGTCTCCAGCTTCACTTATTCTCCTTCCTTCCCAGCCAAATTCTTGAAAGGCAGTTCTCTGTGCTAATTCCCTCCACCCACTCACCTCCTATAGAACCTGATTTCCGCCACCATCATTCCACTGAAACTGCTTTAGCCAAACTCACCAGTGCCACCCATGCACCTAAATCCATTGGGCATAATCAAATTTCATCTACTTTACCTCTAGCAGCATTGGACACTGTTGGCCATGCTCTCTTTGAAACCCTCTCTTCTTTTGGTTCCATGTGCCTGTACTCTACTGCTTACCTTCAACCGCTATATTCGCTTCTCTGTGCCTGTCCCTTCCTCTGTGTCTCTTTTAACTATTAGTCCTCTCCTAGTGTTCTTTCACTCCTCCTGATACCCCTGGGTATTAAGTTTACCCTGTAGGCCTCTTCCCTATGAAAGGTCTTGGTGCCTGAGGTTATGTCTTTCCTACCTCATCAATTTCATGAGAAGGTTGCTCTTCTCGCCACCCTTCCACTGATATTCACTTGCTGATGTCTGTTCCCATCCCCTTTGAGGATTATCTTCCTCTTTTTCACCTCTTCAAGCATTCCCAGGTTCAGCTCTAGGCCCTTCTGTCTCTATGCTCGCTTCCTAGGTGATCTCATTCAGTTTTTTGGCTTCAGATATTATGTAAAAATTGACCATCTTCACATTCACATCTCCAGCCCTAACTTCTCCAGACTGGCTTGTCCGAATACCTACTTGTCATCATACCTTGGATGACTAAAAGTCCTTTTAAGCCTAATACTTAATCTCCTCTTCAAATGCTCTTTCCCTTCAATTTTTTCAGTCTTGTTAAATGGTGCCACCATTCCCTAACTTATCCAGGGCAGAAAACAAAAACATCCTTGATTCTTCTCTTTTTCCTACCTTTTACGTAAAAACCATCATCATGCTCTGTTGACTTGCAAGTCCAGCCACTTCTTATCACCTCTACTAGGTCTATTCACAGCACAAGCAGAGGCATGGTTTAACCATGAGTCAAGTCTGCTGCTCCATGACTGTGCCTGCTCTCATCCTCTGTATTGATGTGCTCTGTCAGCAGATTCCCTCCTTGACCAGCTCAAAGGCTGGCTTGTATCCACGACACCTGCTTTCCTTCTTCCTTGCTCCCGAACACCAAATCCTTTAGATGTACCTCCTAAATGTTTCCAAAGTCATCCACTTCTCTCCATTCCCTCTACCACTCCCTAGTTCAGATCCCCATCAGCAACTGCCTGCTTGACCACAGAACTTCCTAACTCTTCTCCCTGCCTCCATTCTTGCTTTTAAAAACCCACTTCCAACCCAGCAAACAAGGTGATCTATCTTGAATACAAGTTCAGTCATGACATTCTCCCACTTAAAACCCTCAATGCCTCCCCACTGTTCCTTCATAACACCTCACACGTATTAGAAGAGTGTGATGTCAGTCCTGCTCCCAGATGCTCTCCTTTATCTCCTGGACATCAACTCTGCTGCTGCCTCAGTCTGGAATGGAAGCTCCCCCACCCTTACTGAGCTGGTGTGTCCTCATCCATCAGTTCTCACTTGGAGCGGGCTTCCCCAGGTTGGGTCTGGTGGGCCTCCATGTGCCCACAGTGCTCCTTTCTCTCACTGCACTGTACTGTAACAATTTGCTTCACCTTTGTCTTCTTCCCAAAATGGAAAGCTCTTAGAGGCCAGATAAAGCATCCGGGCACTCATTCTTGCAGCCTTAGCTCCAAGCCTGACACATATTAGGTGTTCAGTAAATATTTGTGTGGAAATGAATAAATGCGAGAATGAATGACTAAATGAGGAAGACAGGGATGATGACAGAGAGGGCTTGACTGAAATAGCTGCAACGAATGTTGCAAGGTGTCCCTCGGGTGAGAGAAAAGCAGATTATGCCACTAAGAATTTGAGGAGCTGAGTGATGGCTAAATAAAAGTACAATTACATATCACTTGGAGGGGAAAAGTGGTGGGAGTAGGGTATTCACATTCTAACTTCTCTTTCAAGAAGCAATCTAATAATATAAAATGAAATCTTATCTATATAAGATCTAATCTAAAGTAATATAAAATAATTCTGAATGCTAGAGGGTGCAAGGAGCAGGAGAGTTTCACTCGGTCTTCGGGTGCTCCGTGTGGTTTGTATCTTGTAATAAAAGAAGATTAATATCTTAACTAAGAGCTACGTCAACTACTCTAGCTCTTTGATATAAAGCATGAGTGACTGGCTCTTTTATGTTTTGACTTCTTAGACCACATTTAAATTAATTCTATCACATAGTTGATTCAAGCTGATACTTGCGGATCTAGTAAGAATGACCCAAGGGAAAGGTTAGGGCAAAAACAGACAAGTTGCAGAAGAAAGTCAATGAATCACAAAACATGTAACAAGATGCTCAACCTCATATTAGCCAGGGAAGTATACTATGGAGTCGAAAACAACAAACAAAAAAGAAGCTCCACTTAACACCAGTCATAAAGTCTGATAACACCAAATATTATTTGGGAATAAAGGGCATTTTCTGCTAATGGGTGTGTAAATTGACAGACCAATAATTTAATATAATACCAAGTGTTTACGACACAAAACACATTTCATAACTCAAAACAATATTCTATTTTATTAATAGATGCATACCTACGTAGAAAAAGTGTAAAAACATAAATGGAAATGATATAAATGACAAGATGTGACTATACTGCAGAAACAAAGACCTGGAAGAGAATGGGATCATAGACCTCAAGTTGTCTTTGCAATGTTTTGTTTCTTTAAAGAAAAAAAATATATATGATTTTAAGCATGTGGCAAAATTGTAACATGGTTAAAACTGGTGATAGGTACCTGGATGTCACAATATTTCTGTGTGTGAAATGTTTAATACATTTTTTAAATTTATTACAAAAGCAAATCAGGGACGTATTTATGGACAACCCAACTTGTGAGAATTTGAACCTGTTTCAGAACTTATTCTTCCTTGGGGGATGGCAACTTTGATGTTTGCCCACATGAAAGGTTTTACGTGATTACAAGTGTATGACTATCCTTTTTTTTCCCTAAGAGGAAAAACTAACTAAGTCAAAAGAAGATAATTTTAATTTGGCTCTCAGATCTCAATCTTGAGATAAAAATCTCACTTACCAATGGTTCTCACTTGAACAACAGCTCTGACCGTCCACGAACTTGCAGTATCCGACTGAGTGTAATCACATACGTATGTGCCCTGGTGATAGACGTAAACTTCATCCACTACGATTCGGTTGCTCCTTGTTGTAGAGAGGAGTTTTCCATTCTAATCCAAAAGATATTTTAAGCAGATAATTTTTGCCATAGAAAAACTGTATGAAATACATACCTAAAGGAAAATCTTACAAATTTGAACAGGGAGGAAGAAGGTCAATCCAAGATAAGGGTATCCCACAAGCTAGGAAGACATTGTGTTCAAAAACTGTACTTGTATATTTGAAACAAGAGGCATTTTCTAATACAATTGCATATGTGTAAAAATGACAGAGTCGAACCTCCAAATCTGATCAGCCCCTAAAGAGCTATTTAACATAGGACTTCCCAGAGCATGCGTGACTTGGAGCCCTGAGAGTATTCTAGAAGACATGTAGTGTTCTAAGGGCTGGCACCAAAATGAATTTTTAATGTATGTGTGTATACATACACATATATATACACATACACACATATATACACACACATATATATAACATATATTGTATATATTTACATATATAAACAAATACATACTTATAAATAAATACTTATATGTATTATATAAACAGAGGTTCTGGAACGTGAGTGACTTTTTTCTCTCTCTGACAAAGCTGGTAAGTGAGAGCACTGAGAATCAGTCTCATTTTTTTCTGGTTCTGAGTTTCATTTTCTGATTGAAGAATTTCCCTTCCACTTTGCCTGCCTACTGGTAGAAGCTGGGATTCCCCCACGCCACATCCCTAGTGTATTTCCTGTGGTCCAAGAAGGAATTTCCAGCAAGCTGGAAAGGAGACTAAGGGTGGGGACAGACCGGCCAGAGAAGGACAGCTGTGGTCAGGAAGCAAAACAAGGCCACGAGGTAGTGGTATACAAGGCTAAATATATACTAGATGATCTCAAGAATCAGGAACTTTTCCAAAGGAAGTTTTAAAACACAGGCGGAAATTCAAAGATAAAGCTTCAGAGGATGCAGTGATAACATACAAAGATCAGAATTTGGGGAAGAGGCATGTCATAGAAGACCTCACCTAAGCCACGGGGGAGGATGGGGAATAATGCATCGTTTTACCCATAAAAAAGTAAGTGAGGCTTAGTGTGTATCATTAAGACTTTATGAAATGGAACTTAGAGGAAACATCAAAGAAAGGAAATTAGGGAGAAGCAATTTATGCCAAGGATGATGGGAAACCCATTCCGATAATACAATTACAGATCATCCTCATAGGACAAAGAGAGGCTAATGCAGCTGCACAGGGAACTCTTGGTTTTGCTCATATGTGAAGCAATCATGAACCGAATATGGAAACAGGAACATCCACCACTGTGAATCTGGATGAATAGTGCCCGTAAGTCTTCAAACAAATGGAGGCATTAAAAAAAAAAAAGCTGAAGACACTGCAAAGGACTTTTAAAGGTGTGTGTGAAGCAGGGAGAAGAACACAGTTATTATACTGCAATATTATCGATTTCTTATACTACCCGTCAGTACAGCTACCGAGCATCATGCACACTGCGTTATTCTATGGGAATGGTACTTCCTGGATTTGAGCAACACAGTGGGGGTCCTAGCTGGACTTCCACTACCTAGTCTGGGAAGAATCCAAAGACCTGCATTAATTTCACTCTCCTCCCTGGACCATTCTCCCTGGTGCCTTTCAGGTTTTCCATGTCCATTTTAATGTCCTTATCATAGACTCATTGTGTCCAGGTCTATATTCATCACAGCTTTGCTGCCCCTAATTGAATTTACTACTACTATCTCTAACTTGATAAATACTGTGAACATATGTTGATCCAGAAAGACTCCAAATATTCTACTCATCTGTTTTACACACACTCCCAGTCAAAGCTTTTAATCTTTCATTTTATTACATGAAAATATCACTAGCATCTGCCACCTTCTTCCTGTTTCCACTTCTTTCTGTCCTGTCCTGGATCAGGATTCACACTCGTAAAGTTCAAACACATCAGCAAGGTCCCCGTAACCATCATAAGCAACTGACAACTTTTATTTCCATTCTAGTCCTAATTAAACCACTCAAGAACTCTCAGCTCCCATCACAGTGAGCCATTCAGTGTGACCATTCACTGAATATCCCCTTTGCTTTTATGTTTCTGTTGTCTATGCTGCTCTTTCCTGTTAAGTGTAGTTGTAGTCTCTTGCCCCAGTTATCAACTAACAACATTCTATTGATAGATTTTTTTTAAATGAATATTTATCTTTTAAGGGGAATGGAGTATATTATGGAAATTATTGATAATGGGCTAGATGTCAATTTCTAGTGCAAGTCTTGAATTAATTATTTAACAGCTGGTATGAACCCTTAGAAAAGGAAGTGATGGTTAATATCAGCCAGCTTGCATTTGCTAACAACAATCCTATCAAGGTAATCTCATTGTTGCCCACAATTGAATAGACTAGAGGTTCAGAGGAGTACAGCAGACGCCGAGTATCTTTGCTATAGTGAGTCATTTGAAAAATATTCCCATGATCTCTCTGTTAAACCAAAGGTACATTGTGAACTGAATGATCAGATACAGGGCATTTGAGTGCCCTTTTAGTTAATTAAGCAGCACCTTGCGTTGCGGATGAATGAATCATATGCAACTAGAAGGATCAAACTGGAGTCAACAGCAGAGCACTCTCTCCCTGGTGCTAGCCTGGTCAGTGGTTTTAGCAGGGGCTTGAGTGAGAACATATCATGCTGATCTCATCTACATGACTCACAAACCTGAGTGCGTTGGCTAATACGTCAGCATTCAAAATCAGAATTCCAACCTCTTGACACGTAGAATGAACTAAAAACAACAAATTATCATGTAACAGAAGTAAATACAATATCATGAACATAAGTTACAAATTCTACTCCACAAACAAAAATAGAGAGAACTGGCTTGATTTCAGTTTTGGTGAAAAGACTTGGCTGCCAACTCAGAATAAATCAATCATATCATGGGGCTGTCCCAGAGCTAAAACAACCGTGAGCTGTGGCAATATTCTGTTCTGAACAAGGAAGGCAATGCTTCCTCTGTTTCAGTGTTGGTTAGACAGCACATAGATGATTGTTTTGAACACGTGTTAGAAAGCTGTCCAGATCTTCAGAGTTCTGAAATGCTCATAGTGAGAATAATCAAACAGGCCAATGTTTCAACCCTGGAAACAGTTTTGAGAAATATAATCTCCTATTTAGAAACTCATTAAATTACCTTCTTCTTTATTTGGAAACACATTCATCTTTGTATCTAGCCAGTCTCACCATGCTCACCAGTTCTCCACAGCACTAGGCCCACAGGATGCCAACAGGTGCCAGTTACAAGAACCAGGAAATGAGAAGTAGTATCAGGTACAGGTACAAAACTTCTTTGTGGTTGGCGTGATGGCTCACACCTGTAATCCCAGCACTTTGAGAAGCCAAGGCAGGTGGATCACCTGAGGTCAGGAGTTCAAGACCAGCCTGGCCAACATGGTGAAACCCCATCTCTGCTAAAAATACAAAAATTCCCTGGGTGTGGCGGCCCACACCTGTAATCTCAGCTACTCGGGAGGCTGAGGCACAAAAATAGCTTGAAACCGGGAGGTGGAGGTTGCAGTGAGCCAAGATTATGCCAGTGCACTCCAGCCTAGGCGACGAAGAGAGAGATTCCATCTCAAAAAACAAACTTCTTTGTGGTTGGCATGATGGCTCACACCTGTAATACCAGCACTTTGGAAGGCCAAGGCGGGAGGATTGGTTGAAACCATGAGTTCGAAACCAGCCTGAGCAACATGGTGAAACCCTTTCTCTACCAAAAAATTTTAAAATTAGCTGGGTGCAGTGGTGTTTGCCTGTAGTCCTAACTACTTGAGATGCTGAGGCTGGAGGATCACTTGAGCCCAGAAGTTCAAGACTGCAGTGAGCTGTGATTACACCACTGCACTCCAACCTAGGCAGCAGAATGAGATCCTATCTCTAAAACAAACAAACAAACAAACAAACAAACAAACAAACAAAAGCTTCCATGCCACATAGGGCTTAAAATCAACCCAGCAGCCATGTCAGAAGTGTGGCAAAAGAATGTGGCATGAGTGAGATTGTCTTAAACCACCAATGGAAATGTTATTCAAGGCGCAAGTCCTACTAACAGGAGGTCACAGCAATGTCATCAAAACTCATATCTCGGTGCCCTAGGCCAATACAGAAGAGATTTTCCTACTGCCCTTCATTATAATTTTGACTTGTGTTAAGGATTTGCTTAGCTGAAGGTCATAAAATGCTGTTACATTAAATGTAACTATTACTTATTTAAGATGAAGTCTGTTTACGCCAAGGTTGTTTTTTCATTACATTTTTAGAAATTAGAAAAATATATAGAAAAAGCTAGTAGAATAAATAATAAATAACTCACTTTAATTCTGACTTTTTCAGTCATTAAATATTTTAATTAATAATCTCCAAGCATGGTGACCCAGCCAGGCCCCAGCAGTTTCCTGAAGCCTTCCCTGGGCCAGGAGGCAAGCACAGGTCAGCAATTATCTGCAGAGGGAGCAGCTGGCCCCACCCAGACCCAGAAGGTGAGTGGCAACCCAATCAAGCCTCAATGCTCTGCTTAAGGCTATCCCCGGCCCAGAGGTAAGATCAAGCCCACACACATCTGTGTAGCCTACCTTCTGCCCCTGCCCATCCCAAACTGCTAAGCAGCAATCCCAGAGAACTCACTTTGCCTCAGAGCCTGGCATGTTGTCCTGCCGAACTACACAATCTAACAACAGTATTTCTGGGTTTTTTTTGTTTTTTTTTTTTTTTGAGACGGAGTCTCGCTCTGTCACCCAGGCTGGAGTGCAGTGGCCGGATCTCAGCTCACTGCAAGCTCCGCCTCCCGGGTTCACGCCATTCTCCGGCCTCAGCCTCCCGAGTAGCTGGGACTACAGGCGTCCGCCACCACGCCCAGCTAGCTTTTTTTGTATTTCTTAGTAGAGACGGGGTTTCACCGTGTTAGCCAGGGTGGTCTCGATCTCCTGACCTCGTGATCCACCCGTCTCGGCCTCCCAAAGTGCTGGGATTACAGGCTTGAGCCACCGCGCCCGGCACA